GGAGCTGGTTGTCAAATTTTCGGTGTGAGCATTGACATCCAGAAATTGGAAAATGTTACAAATCAGGGCTTGGCTTATTGTTTTGTTAGATGTCTAAAACACACCAAATTCCCGAGTGCAGCTGAAAAAGATTAAAATGTAACTGGGAAATATTTAAAAAATAAATAAAAATATAACCAAACAGAGATAATACAGCCCACAGGGATCCTCATGTGCAGTTTAATGGCTCCATTCATATTTGAGTTTGACACCATCGGTCTAGACTTCAAAAAGTTATGGAAAAATGTTAATAATGCCAATTAAACTTCAAAGTGTATTGTGCACACGTTATTTTTTTCCTTTGAAGGTCTGATTGTTATCAGCTAACCAGGTAACCACTGGGTTCTGGAGCTACCCAGCCTCCTCCCCCACCTCCACTTCCCAGTGAAAAACAACTTACACACCCCTTTTAGGGTGGGATGCTTTTGTAACTGGCCAATCTCATCACTGTTATAAAAATCCTTGTTAGTCTTCATTTTATTTTCTGGTCTTGTCCTCACATTCTGGGGGATATATACTCTGTCTAGGGATTCTGCAATCCTAACTCCAGCCACTTACTTTCCAAGACTGAGAGCATACAAAAACATGATGCTACATGTTAAAAATGAAAAAGGATTCATTCCTAAGCACAGAAGAAATGTATCTTTGTAAGTGCGCAGTGCAAGTGCATCAAAGAGAGATGATTTTTTCCCTCCTTGGCTTCATATAGTTATGCTTTCAATATCTTCTAATGTTCTAAAAGCTCCATATTTCCAGATATCAGCCCCTTTTATATCTGTGAGACAGAGAAGATATATATATATATATATATAATATGTATATATACATATATATGTGTCTGTAGATACATATAAATATGTTATATATAAATTCAGAGGTATACAAATGTGTATACACACATACAGAGGTATATATGTATGTATATGTATAGGGAGAGAGAGATGTGATGGGGGTGTGTTATATATATGAATAGGTATATATACATACATATATACACACACACATATAGAGGTGTATAGATGTGTGTGTGATAACAGTGTGTGTGTGTGTAGAAATAATACATGTGTGTGTGTGTGTGTGTGAAAAGGTATATATACACATACACAGAAAGGTGTGTGTATATATGTATATATCAGCTGGTATATACACATATGTGTGTGTGTGTGTGTGTATGTTAGGGGTATATTTTATATCTATATGCAGAGGCATAGACAGACATACACATATAGGGATGTATATACATGTACATATACTTCTGTATGTGTGTATTTATGTATGTATTTATTTATATTTATTATTTACATGTACACCTCTCTGTGCTTATATATGCATACATATACACCTCTATACACACATATAATTTATATATTTATATGTATAGACACAGATATGTATATATGTATATATACACATATATCTTGTCTCACATAGATATAAAAGGGGTTGATATTTGGAAATGTGGAGCTGTTTATATAATATATACACACCTCTGTGTGTGTGTGTGTGTGTGTGTGTGTGTGTGTGTGTAGATACACATACACATTCTTTGGGTTTCCAGATTCTTCTACCTGCTTTTTTCAATGACCAAAGGGGCAAAGCAGGTATCCTCTTGCTTGAGATGGAGCAGAAATATAAAAGGATGAAAACCTCCTGCCTTTTTAGCTCTTGGGGCACTGGGGTGGCCCCTGACCTCCCCATGTTGATTGTCTGGAAATGTAATTCATGCTGCATCTGTGGAAGCTGGAGCTTTTTCTCCACTGCCAGATATGAAGCTGATTTATTCCACTTGGTTCCCATTCCCTATCTGTCTCTGGTGTTTAGTATGCTAGGCTAGGATGATATGTCTTTTTAGGTGAAACTGTGGTTCACCTCCATCACACATAACATGCAAATAGATTTTCCAAGTGTGAGAACTCATCAGCAGGGACCAGGCACCTGCTTATGATGTGATCCTAAAACAGGCTCTCCCTCTGACTTTTCTGCCTCATCTCATTTCATCCTGATTCTAGTCAGACCTGCATCTGGGAAGAGATGGGTTAGGCTGATGCCTCATCATACCTTTCATCACCTTTAATAAAAGCAATAACATTGTGGATTGACTGCAATAGACATGACCACTCTCTTCAGTCTTATCCTTACCAAAGAGGAAGCTTCAAAGATTTCCCCTCACTCTATCACTGCTCCAAAAACCTATTTATCCTCTAATTGTATTCTCCAGCTAAACACTGCCGAGTGGAGAGCATCCATTAATTTTCAACATATGAATAGTTTGTACCCATGTTGACATTTCTGTTCTGACCTTAAGGAAGATGGGGACGAGAGGAGGGAAGGAAATAAATATTTATTAAGCATTTACTGTGTGCCAGGCACTAGGTTAAGCACTTTACAATTATTATCTCATTCGATTCTCACAACCCCAGGAAGTAGGTGCTGTTATTATCCCCATTTTAAAGATGGGGAAACTGAGGCAAACAGAGGTTTAATTGACTTGGCCAAGGACACACATGGATATTTTTGGAGCAGTGGAAAGAGTATTGACTCTGAACTCAGAGGAACTGAATTTCAAGTTCCCTCAAGCTTTTATATCTCTGAGATCTCAGGCAAGTCACTTAATCTCTCTGTACCTCAGTCTTCTAATCTGTGAAATGAAGAGATTAGACTAAATGGCCCCTGAGGTCCCTTCTACCTATAGACTTATGTATACAGTTTTATTTTTATCCATATCTTTTCCAATCCATTCTATTTAATTCAATAAACATCTGTTAAGCACCTGCAATTTACTGAGCAGAACCCTGGATATAAGGAATGCTAAATGCTATATAGTCCCTGCCTTAAAAATCTTATACTCTACTAAGGGGATAAGACCAGTTCACAGATAAATAGAATCTAAACTAGAATACAAGAAGTACATAGGGAAGGGAAGAGAAGGGAACAAGCATTTATTAAGTGCCTACTATGTGCCAGGCACTGTGCTAAATTCATTACAAATATGATCTCATTTGATCACAAAGAATAGCATGACAGATCCCAGAAGAAGAATATTATCTCTTCCTGGAACTGAAGCTTGAGTTGGGCTTTAAAAGAAGGGAAAGATTTCCGTAAGCAAAGAGTCACTGTAGTCTCTTAAATAGGATACCAGACTTGATCTCAGGAAGAGATCAGGTTCAAATTCCAGCTCTGATACCCCCTGTGTAATTTTGGTCAAATTACTTAGCCTCTATGGACCTCAAGGAATGTTGGACAGGTGGGTTAGAGTTTGAATGTGGATGTCCTAGGGTAGTGGGGGAAAGGGCTTAAGTTTTCTTTTGTAGGTAATAGGGGTCAGTCACTGAACTTTTTCGAGCCTCCAAAATGTACATTAGGAATACCACATTATCCACTGTGATCCACGTGTATCTATATTTCTTTATGATTATTTTTAAATAAGCTGTAAAAATCCAAAAGCTTTTGACTACAGAGGTACTATAACTCCTGTCACAGACAAGTCCCAAGAGAAAGGGGAGGGGCTCAGAAGATGCAGTCAAAAATGCATTTGCTTCTGACCTCATGACAAACATCACAGCCCAAAACCTTCACCCGTGTATGTGCTCAATACCTCAGGCAACATACAGCCTAGCACGTCGCACAAAACTTCCTCAGGAATGAACAATAAAGGAAAATGCAAACACAGAGGAAAAGACATCCCAGAAAGAGCTTTCTTTCAGCTTCCTCCCTGAACCAGGCCCCCAGCTATACTGCTCTACCACAAAGAAGTCACATCTGATTCTCTTGCTCTCCTTTCTGTCAACAAGTCAGCCCCATGGCCACTGCATAAGGGCCAACTCAGGAACACTATTCCAGAGGTCTGGGCTTTCCCTAATTTTTCCTGAGCACAGGAGAAAAAGTGATGAGCCCATTTGGGCTGCTGGCTGCTTCTCGCCTCTACCTCTAAATTTCTCATTTTCCCTAGTTTTGTTAACATAAGCCTGGGAAATAGTTTTAGGGTAAATGTGTTTGGAAGAACAACAGTCTCTTTCCAAGTAAGAGTATTTAATTCTGTGGGGATTTGGTTCAAATTATGAATTTCTATGGTTACAGAACAATAGCCCACAGGATATGCTAGGTCCTATCTCATCAGTAATATCAAAAAGCACGCACAAATGGTATCCACTGAAGGGGTTTATGGAACATGCCTGTCTCATGCAAACAGAATGAGAAATTCTTCCATGGGGCAAGAAGACATGCATGTGCTGAAGGACTCAGGAACAACTGGCAATGCTTATTCTTTTCTGGGAAGTTGGAGGAAAAACAGGGCAAACGGAGAGAAGAAGGGTTCTACCTGAGCTCCAGGTACATTGTCCATTGGCCTAGGGCCAAGACATCCAATGCATTTTACAGACAGACAGGCAGACACACACACACACACACACACATGCACACACACACACACACACACTTGCCAACTGCTGAATTTCTATCACATTCTTATAGTCACATCACAAGCTCTCAGATATTTTGACAGGTGGGAGTTTATGACTAGGTTAATTAGTCAATTCCATTAAAATTAGTTGAGAGAAATTCTGAAATCCAGCCATATTTGAAGCAGAATTTCAATGGCTCACCTCCATTTTTATCGGAAAAGGGAAAAAGTGTAAAAAGACAAATGTCAAATTTATCGTCTGTTTACTGTGGGGATTTGGCTTCTAAAAATAACAATTTGTCAACTACTGATCAAAGAAAATATTCCTTTAAAAGGGAATCAATCAAATTAGAAGCATTTTGTGTTGAGATTTGGATTGAAATGAGTAAGAAACTGTTTCCTCCTATGTCACAAGAATTAAATGGGGGGGGAAACAAAATATATTTTGGATTATAACAGAGTATTTTTCAAGGTATAGGACTATGGTTTATAGCAAATTGGGAAAGAAAAGGGGGAACGAGTCATTTAGCCTTTCAGACCTCATTTTCCTCTTTTATAACAGGAAAGGACTAGACAAGATACCTAAGTTCCCATCTGCCTCTAAATCCCTTGATCTTGTGACCCGAGCTTAATGTTGGAGCAAGGAACTGCACATAAAAGGGTCATTTTATGGAAAATGTACAGTTTGCAGCTGGCTCCCCAGTAAGAACATCAATACTACATTCTTGAAAAAAGAAAGGTAATATATCAAGAGATAATACCCTAAGAAAGATGAAGTAGTCTTCTTTCTCCCTAAAATGCACTTAGTACTGGTATGTTTTAATTAATGAAATGTTAATAATAGAAGGGATCTTGGAGTGTAGATGCATCCCTTCATCTTGTAGTAGAGGACAATGGAGCCCAGAGAGATAAAGTCACTTATCCAAGCTCACACAGGTGGTCAGGGATGGAGTGAGGAATAGAACCTCATCGTCCCACGTCCCAGACTAATGTTCTTTCTGCTGTGGCTCTAAATAAAGTCAACACACAGTCGTCTGAAGTCTTGACTAAGGAAAAGCCAATTATCCAATTCACATACCGTGCTTCTATTTTGACTTCCATCCCAAAGGTTAATGGCTGAGTTGAGTAAACATTTCTACCTTGATCAAGACTATTAGCACATAGAAGTGTATTTGAAGAGGTTGGTTCCAAGTCATACAGTGTATAAATTTGTAACATTAAAACACATTTGTGGAAACTCTAAAATACTTTCACGTTTTTAATCAAGGTGGAAGTCGGCACTGAAGTAAATGATTAACGTCGGCAATACTGAGGTCTAAAATTAAATATAATCCACTGATGGGTAAATTGTTCTCTTAACATTAGTTTGAGTTGAAGTTTTAATCAAAACATGGGTTTGTTTTTGTTTTTTACCATGGGGTAGGTACATACAGTGTGTCTGAAAAGTCTTACTGCAGTTTTAAGCTGGTTTCATGATTCATGATCACAGCTCTGACATTTTCTCAGGTGAAGGGAGACCAAGGATCCTCGATGAGCAAAGGTTAACACAACTACCGAAAAGGAAAGAATTTAAGTATTGGTGGGAGGAAGGAGAAGGAAGGCAAGGGAGAACAACAGAAATTAGTTCAGAATCAGAAAGTTTCCAGACTTCAAGTGGGCTATTTTGAAACACTGCATTAGAGGACTAGGAAAAATGTGTAGCATGTATCAAAAAACATATTAAAAAAAAAAAGTATTGCCCAAACCAGGAAAGCTGGGAAATTCAGAAAATGTAGCAGGTCAGATGCTACCAAAAAATTAGCAGTCCCAAAGAGTAAATCATCCCCTGAAAGATTCCAAAACCATGAAGTTTAGGAATGGGAGGACAATGGATTTGTTAAAGAAATCCTACTCTCCTAGAAGTAGGGATTAGCCCTTGAAGCTGGAGAGAAGCATATATAGGACAATTAACAAAAGAAATCGCTTTAGATAACCAAGTTAATGGGACTCAAGCAGCTGGGGAAGTCCCTGTATTTCTACAGGCTTGTCTTATCTTCAATTTCTCCCTAAACCAATCTATGCAGAATAATGGTGCTCTAGTAATCTTTATAACTTGCTGCTTCCATGTAGAGGTTTAGAACTAGAAGAGATCTTAGGTCTTTTTTTTTTTTAAAGTGAGACTTCAAATCCAGCCTCAGACACTTACTAGCTAGCTGTGTGACCCTGGGCAAGTCACTTAACCCCAAATGCCTCCAAAACAATAAAAATAGTGAGATAATTATAAGGGCCTTCGTTTTTTCTTTTCTTCCTCCCTCCCTCCTTCTTTCCTTCCTTCCTTCCTTCCTTCCTTCCTTCCTTCCTTCCTTCCTTCCTTCCTTCCTTCCTTCCTTCCTTCCTTCCTTCCTTCCTTCTGTCTCCCCTCGCTTTCCTTTTCTTCCTCCCTCCTTGCCTTTCCTCTGGCTGGTTCAGTTTCTTCATTTGAAAAATGGGAGCAATAGCATTTACCTCCCAAAGCTGTTGTGAGGATCAAATGAGATAATATTTGTAAGGCACTTTGCATACCCTAGTTTGTGTCAGAGGTGGGGCTTCCTGACTCCCAGGCTGGCTCTCCAGTCGTTTCACCGTGCTGCCTCCTCACAGCATAGCACCCACTACTGAGTGCAAAGAGATGCCTTTTGCATGGTGTGCTGTGGTTTTGATATGTAAGCTCATTGGGTCCTCACAACAACCCCAAGGGATATCTAATACCCGTATTCTTGCTCGGCTACTTCACATTGCTCACACACAGCACTCCATTCCCCATCTCCGAGCCCTTGCATTGGCTGTTCCCCAATGCCTGGAGCCCTCTTCCTCCCTCTGCCTCTTAGAATCCTTGGTTTCCTTTAAGAGTCAGTTCAAATACATGAAGCCTTTCCCATTCAATCCAGCAGCTACAGTCTCCCCTCTAAGGTTCTTTTCTATCTGCTGTGCATGTACCTATTTATTTACACTCCATTTCCCCCGTTAGAATTTAAGCTCCCTGAGGGCAAGGACTCTGGTTTGCACTTCTTTGTATCCCTAGCCTTTTGCACATTTAAAGAGGTGAATTGTACTTGTTTGAGATTTCCGAGCTAAGCAGTGGCAGAGCCAGGATTCAGCCTCAGGTCTTCCGATTTGGCCTGTGGCTCCTACAATATGGCCACCTGGGTATTTGCAAAGGTCAGCTCTGATGACCAGGACGGTACTGCAGGGTCTGGATTTCCAGGCAAGGGCTGGAAGATATCTCTAAACTTCCCCCGCCCCTTCCCTCTCCATGGCTCTGATGTGTGCTAACTCTCCCCTTTCTAGGACAAGGGACAAGGGAAGGAATCACTAGAAAGGGAAGCTAAGTTTCCTGGGAACAGTTTCTATTTTCCTCTAATGAACCTCATCTTCTCTGCCAGCTGGAGCAGCTCATTGGGGTGGGAGGAGATGAACAGAAAGTCTCAGCCCTGAGAGAAGCACAGGCCAATCAAGCTGTTCCCAACAATCCTCGAAAAAGGAACAAAATCAGAAGTGGGTAGGCAGCCCATATGCCTGGGGATGGGCCCACCCACTTAGCCCTTCCGGGTACAAGCAGTCCTCAGCCGTCACCAGACCCCAATATTCTTCCCCTTCCCATGGATAACTTATCTCTGAGGTCTTTCCTCTGTGGGAAAAAAGTCTGCCTCCCCAAGGTGATGCCAGAACCCTGGTACAGAGTGATACAAGAGGAGAGCTGGGAGAAGGTTCCTTTTCTTGACTTACAACATTCAGTCTAAAAAGGGAGATGGTGAGTGGTTTCCTATCCAGCTTCCCTGGGACCATTTTCCCAGCTCTGCTTTTCTTTCCCTATGTACTAGGCACCTGTTGCTTTCTTTTCTGGCTGAGTCTCAACAAAACACAGATATCAGGAAGAATCAACAGGGAGTCAAACAGTGGGGACAGGTGGTCTTCTACCCTGCATATTCCTTCTCTGCTCAAAAATCAACAAAGACTTCCTGGGACCCATCAAATAGTGAAATGGTGAAAAGTCAAAAGATCTGTGTTCATCCCCAAGCTCTGCTACTGAATATTTTTCATTGAATATTTTACTGAATATTTATTTGTTTGTTTACTGAATATTTATAATTTTCAAGTCATAAAATCATAGAATAATAGAGTGAAAAAGATCTTTGAGATACGTTTATCCAGCTGCCTCATTTGACAGCTGAGGAAACTGAGTTCCAGATAAGTGAAGTGATTTGCCCAAGGTTCCCAAGAGTCAGTGTCAGTGCTGGGATTTGAACTCAGGTCCTCTTAACTCCACACAGCCAGCACACTTTCTACTCTGTCATGCTATTGGACTACAATCAGGGGTGGGGAACCTTTGGCCTTATAAGGCCACATATGTTCTTCCAAATCCTTGGGTGCAGCCTTTCGACTGAGTGTAAGTTTTACAGAACAAATCCTTTTATGAAGGGGACAATGTGGCCCTATTTGGGGTTTTCCTGGCAAGGATAACTGGAGTGGCTTGCCATTTCCTTTTCCAGTCAGTTTACAGATGAAGAACTGAGGCAAACGTGGTTAATATTCACTGATATCCACTGGTCATAACCATGGTACTCTTCTCCCTGGAAGAGGTCCCAGTGCTGTACCAATGATTTCAGGCCATTGGGCAGTGTTGCTTTTCCTGTCCCTAGAAGAGTACAGACACATTCCACTGCTCTCTAGGGCAGGCCTTGCCAGCTCAGGACACTAGTCAAAGCCCAAAAGAAAGGTTATGCTATTAATAGCCACCAAAGTTAGATTGTAGACCTAAAAACTGTTCCTTAAGGAGAAACCCCCTGGGGTGCTGTGTCAATTAATTCCAGCCCATCTGTGCTAAATGTCCCTTCCAGCTCCAGAACACTACCATTTAAAGTATTTATTGGGCATTTACTCTGAGACAAGCACCCTACTAGATTAACTGAAGAATATGGAGTTGTATTTAACTAGAGTTAAGAAATTCTGTCTTCATCCTAGCGATCCAATACTGTGTTGCCTTAATAAAGGTCAAAGTAACGAGATGGTGTGGTAGAGTGGTAAGCACGCAGCTCTTAGATTCAGGAAGATACAGGTCCAAATTCCATCTCTGACTCTAATAAACCATGTGACCCTGCATAAAGCACTAATCTCCCAGAGCCTCAATTTCCTCATCTTTAAAATGGGAATGATAATGCCCACAGTATCTACCTCATGGAGTTGTTATGAGACTCAAAAGAGGAAATGCATGCAAAATGTCTTACAAATCTCAAATTACATCTATGTGGCAATAATTATAATTTATAATTTACAACTGCTTTGTGCCTCAGTTTCCATCTCTGAAAAAACGAGAATGCAAGACTGGATGGCACAGGGCAGCTAGGTGCTGCAGTGGATAGAGCACCTGCCCTGGAGTTGGGAAGACATGAGTTCAAATCTGGCCTCAGACACTTGACACTTATCAACTGTGTGACCTTAGGCAAGTCACTTAACCCCAATTACCTCCCCCCCCCAAAAAAAAAGACTGAATGGCACCTAAGATCCTTTTGGTTTTTTAACATTCTATGATTTTACAAGTAACAAGCCACAAATTAGTCTCCTAGAGATTCCAAAGCTGGGAATATAGCTTGTAGAGGAGACTAATTTCTGATCAGGGAATATTCAGAGAAGGAATAAAGTCGATTCCATGCAGCCCAGACCAACTACACAGAGATGCTGCACAACCACATGTGAAGGTCTGTAGTCGTTGTGACTGGCCCATCCTACATTCATAGATCTTCCTACAAGGGGCAAGGTACTCTGAGGCTGGTCATGAGTAGCAGCAGTCATAGAATCATTAAATCCAGTTCATGTGCAAGTCAAGACATCACCCTTCTGATGTTACTAGTCCTCTTCAAGAATGAAGGACAAACAACAGTAACAGTTGACATGTATAGAACTGTAGAGTTTTAAAGGAAGAAACCTTACAAAATACCTGGTCTAGCCCTACTGGAGTGAAATCACTTGCCTAAGGTCATACAGGCAAGTGGATATACAGCTGAGATTAGGACTCAGGTATCCTGACTCCCAGTCCAGGAATCTGTCCACCTCTTCACACTGACTCTCCCAATGATTTCTTTGAATAATATTCATAAAAATGGATTGCAGAAGTTATGTTTCATGTTTCCACATATATACTTTGGATCGCTTTTCTTTACCAAATAGAGTACAGCTAATTTACTTTAAGATGGTTCACTATTGAAATTACTCTAAAATGTTAATGTTATTTTAAAACCATACCTATTTCTGATAACTTCATATTGTATATGCAGTTTTGTAAGAAAATAACCATGTTAATGCCATGTCTAATTATTGAGCCATATTAACCAAATATTCATTTTATAAAAATCCAATGCGATTTAGGCCTTTCCAATACCACCTTTCCAATACAGCCCCTTGGCTTCCCTCAAGTACCATCTCCTATAGAATATATACTATCTCCTTCCCCCTAGTTTAAATTGTCTCACCCTTCTCCAATGATCTTTCCTTTACCTGTGGGAATGTAACACCCCAGTAGAGTGTAAGGTCCCTGAGGGCAGGAGCTAATTTTCATTCTGTCTTCATATTCTTAGCACTTAGCATGGTACTTTGCATGGTAGGAATTTCATAAATTCTTCTTGAATTTAATTTAGTTGAATTAATATTTGGAAAAAATCTATAACAATCTAGCTTTTTAAAATTAAATCATTACATTCAATTTTATTAAACGATTTCAATATCCTGTCAGTCTACATCTACATTTAAAAAACACAACAAAGTTCTTATTGAAACCAATACCTGCAATAAGTGCCGGCATGTCAATTATAATTCATACTCAGTATCTATCACCCAGTTTCTTTTATAGGCAGCCTGGTTGATTTTTAAGCCTTAGTCTTCTTCTAGTTTCCATGGGACTACCCATTCTTTCTTTTTAAAGTACAAGTTTCATTGACTTTTTTTTTTAGTTTTATTGTCACTTCTAAATGACACTCCCTCTCCCCTGCAAATGGAGCCATTTTGGCTCTCACTACATCTTTCATAATGTCTGTCTACTCAGTCACACACACACATGCACACACACACACACACACACACACACACACACACACACACACACCCCTTTCTAGTAGAAGCTTTCATCACCTCTTGTCTGGACTATTACAACAGGCTTTTCATTGGCCTTAAAGCCTCAAGTCTCTGCTCCTGCAAGCCAAGCTCTACAAGTGCCAAAGTGATTTTCCTGCAACAAAGGTTTGGCCATGTCACTTCCCTGCCCATTAAACTGCAATGGCTCCCTTTTACCTCTAGGATCAATGCCAAAGTCCCGCTTGGCATGGCATTTGAGGTTCTTCCTAGTTTAGCCCCTTCTGGTTTCCTTACACTTTATTCCCTTCCGTGAAACCTATACTCCAAATACATCTAGGCTTCACATATCCTGTTCTTCAAATGTGACATTCTATCTCCATGCCTTTTCGTGGGCGGGGATCCCATAGCTGGAATGCTCTCCCTTCTCACCACCATCATTCAGCTTTCCTGGCTCCCTTCAACCCTCAGCTAAAATCCTACCTTCTGTAGGAGGCATTTCCAAGTCACAATGTTCCCCACCCCCACCACATCCTCACTTCAGTATCTGCCCTCAGAAACTACTTTCCATCTTTCACATATATCTAGTTATTTGTGTGTTAAGCCAGAGGGCAGGTACAATGTTTTTCAGGACAGCTAGGTATCACAGTGGATAGAGTGGAGGGCTTGGAGACAGAATAGACCTGAGTTCAAATGTGACTTCAGACACTTCCTAGCTGCATGATCCTGGGCAGGTCACTTAATTCTGTTTGCTTCAGTTTTCTCATTTGTAAAATGAGCTGGAGAAGGAAATGGCAAAACACTCTAGTCTCTTTGCCAAGAAAACCCTCAATGGGTCATAAAGAGTCAGACATAACTGAAATGACTCAAAAACAGCACAGTGTTTTTGCCTTTTTTTCTATCTCCAGTGCTTAGCACAGTGGTTAATCCATACAAGTACTTAATAAATATTTGCTGACTGACTGACAAAGAAGAAAAACTTGGCCATATATGAAAACACATTTCATGATCTGTCCCCTCTCTGTCAAAAAGGAGAAAGGTATGTTTCATTGTCATTACTCTGTAATTAAGATTGCCTAGTCATTCTCTATTCCCCAATGCCATCATGAGCATACTCTGTGTAAGGAAGCAGTATAGTTTTGTGGGCTAATTCTCTGAGATGAACATCAAGAGATCTGGGTTCTAATCTGAGCTTTGTAATAGTTTAGCTGAATGACCTTGAGCAAGTCTATTTTTCTCTGGGCATTGAGATATATGTGTATGTATGTGTGTGTGTGTGTGTGTGTGTATGTGTGTGTATACATATATACATATATATATATATATATGGAAAATGGGGACAATAATAATAATAGCAGCACATATAAACTTTAAAGTTTAGAAGTGTTTTTCTTACACAACCCCTGAGAAGTAGACAGTGACATCTTTTGAACCCATTTCACAGATGAGCCATGCCTATCCTTTCTATGTTATAGAGATGTCAAAAACAAACAAATAAACAAATCTCCCAGGCTAACTGACAGATGCAAGAGTGCTTTGTAAAATAGGTCCTGTTGGGACAAATGGGAATCATTACCATTATGATTCTTCCCATCCCTGACTCTGAACCTAGCCTCGAGGCTGTCATCCTACCTGAGGCTTGGACCTCCATAATGTACTGGTGCAGATCCTGGCCCTGCTGGATGACTTCAAAGGTCATGTTGTTCATAGCCAGCTTCCTCTCCGTGTGACGTTGTAACCGCTGCTCTGCCAGGGTCAGGTCCTCGGTGTTGAAGTCATTCATTTGTCTCAGCAGGTCCTCATTCCAGGCATCCAGCTCTGCCGTCACCTTTGGGGAAAGCACCATCCATGTAATTCATAATGGTTAGCAAGAATGGTAGAATCTTAGAGATGAAATAACAGTTCTAATAAGAGCCAGCATTATGTAGCAGCCCAAGATTAATGAAGTGCAATATCTATATCTATATCTATATCTATATCTATATCTATATCTATATCTATATCTATATCTATATCTATATCTATATCTATATCTATATCTATATCTATATCTATATATTTTATTAGTCCTCACAACCACCCAGGAGGGACTTGCTATTTATAGAGGAAATTGGGGATGGGAGTGCTTAAGTGACTTGCTTAGAATCACACAGGTAGTAAATACCTGAGGTTGAATTTGAATTCAGGTCTTCCTGACTCCTGGGCAGCTAGGTGGTACAGTGGATAGAGTGCCAGGCCTGGAGTCCGGAAACCTCATCTTTGTGAGTTCAAATCTGGTCTCAGACACTTACTAGCTGTGTGACTCTGGATAAGTTACTTGAGCCTTTTTGCCTCAGTTTCCTCAACTGTAAAATGAGGTAGAGAAGGAAATGGCAAACCATCCCAGTGTCTTTGCCGAGAAAGTGCTGAATGGGGTCCTGAAGAGTTGAACACAACTGAACAACAACTTCTTGACTCCTGGCCCAGCACTCTACCACTGTACCACCAGCTACTTCTGAAGAGACCTGTCTTGATCCTCTCTCATCTCCCTCATCCCTATACTCAATTGGTAATGACCTTTCCCTGTAGACGTCATACGGTACTTTTCTTGGTAATTCTCTAACAAATAAATTAATGTAAAAGTATTGATTAGGCTCTTACTCCGTACCAGGCACTGTGCTCAGCACTGGGGATAAAAATACAAAAAGCAAAGCAGTCCTTGTCCTCGAGGGGCTGACATTTTAAAAGGGGAAAACAACACACATCAAAGAGTGTCCATGGATGGGTATTGTAGATCAAGACACTAGTGGAAGTGGAGAGGTTTGAGTCAACTTCATAGACCTACACAACACCAACAGGGGCTATTGTGAGTTAAGAAACAATGAAGCTGACCTTGAATAGTCTGAGTTAACTTTATTCTTCCAAGTGGAATGTTCTGGGACACAGATGTGGGCCCTTTGGGCAAGAAGGACATGAAATCAATTTAAAGATTTTGGTAGGAAGCTCCTGAGACCCCAGGGAACTTCCTTGCTGATTGCCTTTAAAATGTCAGTGAGCCTCATCTCTCAAATATAGAAAGAACTGAGTCAAATTTATAATATTATGAGTCATTCCCCAATTGATAAATGGTCAAAAGATACAAAAGGAAGTTTTCAGAAGAAGAAATCAAAGCTATCTATAATCTTATGAAAAATGCTCTAAATCACAATTGATTAGAGAAAAGTGAATTAAAACAACTCTGAGATACCACCTCATACCTATCAGATTGGCTAATATGACAGTCAGAAAGGGAAAAAGACAAATGTTTCAGGGGATATGGAAAAATTGGAACACTAGTGCACTGTTAGTGGAGCTATGAACTGATCCAACCATTCTGGAGAGCAATTTAGAACTATGCCAAAAGGGCTACAAAACTATGCATACCCTTTGATCCAGCAATACTACTACTAGGTCTGTATCCTAAAGAGATCAAAAAAAGGGAAAAGGACCAATTTGTACAAAACCATTTAAAGCAGCTCTTTTTGTGTTGGCAAAAAATTGGAAATTTAGAGAATGCCCACCAATTGGGGAATGGCTGAACAAGCTAGGTTATATGATTGTGATGGAATACTATTGTACTATAAAGAAGTGATGAGCAAGATGCTTTCAGAAAAACCTGGAAAGACTTACATGAACTGATGCAAAGTGAAGTGAGCAGAACCAGGAGAACATTGTACACAATAACAGCAGTACTGTATGATCATCAACTGTGAATGACTTAGCTATTCCCAACAATATAAAGATCCAAGACAATTCTGAAGGAACTATGGTGAAAAATGCTATCCATTTCCAGAGAAATAACTGATGGAATCTGAATGCAGATCAAATCATACTGCTTTTTCATTTTATTTTTCTTGAGGTTTTTTTGTCTATGTTTTTTTTCCTACCACATGACTAATATGGAAATATGTTTTGCATGATGGCACATGTATAATCTATATCAAATTGGTTGACTTCTCAATGAAGGGGAAGGGGAAGGGATAGAATTTGGAACTCAAAACTGTAAAAAAAAAGTTTAAAATTGTTTTTACATGTAATTGGGAAAAATATTAAAATTTTAAAAATTAAAATAAAAATGCCAGTAACTTTTACTTACCTATTTCTTCCTGGACTGCTTTTTGCTGCCTTGGGGACTGCTTTTACTTGGGAATAACTGAGTAGGCTTTTTATTGAGGAAATTTTTTTTTCCTGGACCCTCAATCACTGAATGATCCACTGTAACTGTACTAGATTTGGAACCACAGCTGGGACAAGGAGTGATTTAGTGTCCCATTTTCCTGGCTGGAGAGTAGCATATGGATCTGAAGGGGAAGACAAGGATAGGAGCTGGAGAGCCAGATCCAAGTGAGAGGCAGAAGGCAGAATGCAACCCCAAGGAAGGAAGATGATCACACCCTGAACATGGGATCGAGTAGATATGCTTAATCTGCACTGGTGTCTAATTAGTTGGTTAGACTGTAAGTCCTCTGAAGGCAGGAACCATATCTTAATTTAACTTTCATGGTATCAAAGAGCTAAAGCTGGAAGGGACGTCACAGATCACCCATCCCAATACTCTAATTTTTATAGATGGGGAAACTGAGGACCAGGAAAGTTATGTGATGAGGTAAGACTCATCCCAGGGGGAGGCTGTTGAATCCCCATTTTTTAAATTCTATAGTCAATGTTCTTTCCATGGTACCACATGTAGTCTCAGCGTCTAGCCCAGGGCTCACTCCACTAAATAAATGTTTATTGCATTACATTGAATTGCCATAAGGTGACAGAAACACAATAAAAAGCAAACCGAAAAACTCATAAAGCAAAGTGGTCTGGGGTCATTTGGTATACACCTTTATAAGTCCTGAGAATATTATTCTATTTTCATCATATTTATAGAACAATGTAGTAATTGCTATTCATAATGCTGACCTTGAGTCATCAAGAAAAGGTTAAACTACATATTTAAGAGGGAGATAAGCACATAATTTTAGGATGATTTCCTTCTATAAATGTTTACAATAAAATAAGTGTTGGTATTTAAAAGGGTAAACTCTCAATTGGCTAGAAATATGACTTTCCAGAACAACCTGTTCCCCAAGCAGGACTCTGACAGCTACAATTTTATAGTATCATTTACTGAAAGGTACTAATGACTCTAATGAAGAGATAAAAGATCTTAGTTCAAACAAATAAGTGGTAAAGGCTGGGAACAGAAATATCAACATTGTTCTAGCTAATTAATTTGCTAATTAGTCTTCCCTTTGGACTTCAGTCCTTAGCCCCCTCATACATGCTTCTGCTTCTTCCACTAGAAGGTTTCTGGGGGACAGGAACCCCATCTTATGTTCTCTTCTCTACCCAGATGGCCCTTTGTACAGTAGCATGGAAAAGTATCTTGAATGAATGAATACAAAAAATTACTCCATAATTGCCTAACATTTTAAACTTTTTTTCAAGGTGTCTTCACTTCTACTGCCTCATTTTATCCTTGTAACCACTCTGTAAGCTTTCATTGTTGTTACTGTGGTAGATGTGTTTGATCTATTTTACTGATGAGCAAAGTGAGGCATGGAAAGATTGAGGTAAATTCTTAATCTAGTTAATTCACAGCAGGTTAAAGGCAAGAACAGAATTCCTGACTCTTGGCCATATCCGTGAAACAATGGGGTCATGACATATCCCACACTAGATATTACCTACCTAGCCAAGAGAGAATTATAGCCCTTGGCATGAGCACAAAGGATGTATTAAAGGACAAAGAAGTAGAAAAACAGGTTGAGACAGCTGGGAAAAACAGGTGTAAAAGAAGAGGGAGCAGGAATTTTTGCACCTCAGGCAAATAGGGCAAATTTTACAAATTGGGTTGGGGCAGGTGACTTGAAGCATGTGTACTTCACTGGATGAGGGGTGGGGGTATTAGTCAAGGAAGGGATTTACCCAGGTATACCGTCTTAGCAACTTCTTGCTTTAACTATTTGCTCTTGCTAACAGAATACTTAGCTCTATTGTTTCTGTGCTGCTAAGGACCACAAGTGATGTTGATACCCTGTAACTTTGGTACCCTGGTGAAAAGCCCCAGTTGACCTGCCTTAGTTAACTCTTTTATTTAGATTTCACAGGGAGCTCTAATATGAGATCTTGTACCAGGTGTTACTTCAGAACAATGAGGTGGAAAAAAAATAGAGCACTGACCTTAGTATTAGGAAGACCTGAGTGTGAATCCTGTAAAATGTATGACACAGAGGTGGACCTTGCTATAACACAGTTGTTGGATTCCAGGGCCAATAGAGCAGAAGTCAGGCAGGAGGAGGACGCTCATATTCTCTGCTTCTAACCTTACTACTTTTAGTAGGAAAAAGAGTCTGGTACTAAGGATAATAAAATCAGAGTTTAACAAGGAATTCAGCCACATGAGAGAAACCTATAAATCACCACTCACCAATCTAGCGTATTGTTTTTCAACATGCTTTCCCTACATTTTCCCAGTGAAAAAAAGATTGTAAAAGTATCATTCCCTTTGAATGGCAAAAGAAAGCTTTCTTCATAGAGTTGAGGTTACTTGTCCTGTATAAGTCACAGAGCTAGTAAGCCCCACAGCCAAGATTAGAACCCAGGTCTTCTGACTTCAGGTCAAGGGCCCTTTCTTCTCCATGATGCTGCCTCTCTAAATATCCTTATTCCAACAAATAATCAAGGCTTAAAATAAGTTTGCATGAATCCACTGAAAAATAGTCATGGAGTCTAATGTTGAAAATAATCATAATAAGAGCTAGCATTTATATAGTGCTCTAAAGTTTATAAAGTTCTTTACAAGTACTATCTTATTTG